AGCTAGATTGTCCAGACACTCTTTCAGGCAAAGGTGAAGCAGATGTGGGAGTCCAGCTGGCCGAAGCAGCAGCCAGCCATTTAAGAAATGAAAGCAAGGGGAGCAAGCGCTGCAGGGCCGTCAGCAGCTTTGAGAAATGAAATGCTGAAGTTGTCCTCCCAGTTGCCCGCTGGTGTTCCCATGCCTTCCTTATTGGCACTGCCTTTGACTCAATACTCCAGGTCTCACTAACTTCAGCTGCACTGAGGTTTTCCCCTCCCTAGGGGAGCCAAGCATAGTGTCCTCCCCCACACCCACCCCAGTGTCCTGTAGAGACCCTTTGTCATGCGGAAGGAAACTGATTTCTCCTCTGTTCACCTCCCTCACCAGGCCAGGAGTGTCTCCAAGGGAGTCCCAGGCTTTGCAGCTGTTGTGGGAAGCTGGAGGCACCCAGGCTACTTGGGTAGATTTAAAGCTGACCTGCACAAATGGGTGTTTAAAAGACCTCTCATAGCTGACCGGTTAGTGTCCGGTAACCAAGTAGTGTGCTTTTCCCCAGGAAGACTATTTCTTCCTCTCAACATTGCTTAGATTCTTGTAGTTGTTGGTGTCGGGTTGAGGCCCCCTAGACTTTCCCGTATCCACTTTAGTATCTATTGTCTTTTTTCAGCTCGTGTTTAGATAGTCTTCTTGTTGGTGAGACTTTATGGGTATAGCTTCTGACCTTCCAGTCTCACAGCAGACTCCCTGATCCCTCTGCCTCTTACAGTCTTCCCACTCCCTCTTCTGCAGTGATCCAGAGCCTTCAGTGTAGGGGGCGTATTTTCCATGAATCAGTTGGGACTGTTCTTCTTAACTCTACGTTTTGATTGACTGTAGTCTTCTCTAGTGATCTGTTTGCTGTGGAGAGAAGTTTCCATAATTATGGGTGAGAACTACACTTACCTATGGGTATAAGGGCAAGTATTTGGGATGTAGTGAGGGATTATGCTGTTTTTCTTGCCTGCTGGTTGTGGGTTACTCCCTTGAGATCTATGACTTCACTAGCCTTGTATAGTTGCCTAGGTTTCCAGTACCACGCATGTTTTTCTTCTTCTTAAGTGAGTCTTAAGTCCAGTTATAGAGCTGTTGGTTACTGCCAAGGGATGTGTGCCCCTACAGCACAATAACCCCACGAGGGTTATTGTGGCATGCTGGCCATTGCTGTGGTTCCCGATGTTAAACCCAGAAAACATACATGTAACTAAGGTTATACAGACTGAGCATGTTATATTTATGTATTTAGGAATGCATGTGTATGTGTGCACACACATAACAATGATTAATGAAAAAAGAGACTGCGAATTTGAAAGAGAGCAAGGAGAAGTGTATGGAAGGTTTGGAGTGAGGGAAGGGGAGGTAAAATGCAGTTCTATTATGACTTCAAAAAATAAAATAAAAAGCTAAAAAAAACATGTTATTTAGAGATGGCAGAGGCTTTGATATACTATAAACTCATTTACTTATGTGTATGGGGACTCTTAAATTCTGATAGCACAAATTGAATTTTCTTTTTCATAAGTTATTAACAAAAGATTGTTTTTGACTTTTAGGCAATGTTCTTTTGCTAACTTTGAAATGTCTTGGCATTGGAACTTATCAGTTCATGCAAATGAAAATCTGGCCCAGAGACAAGGCACATACTTCCCCTAGTGCACAGATGCCTGTCCTTGCCCATCATCCATTAACCCATGCTGCCCCTTCTGAAAGGCCTTATAACAAAATTAATTTTTCATTCTCATTTTCCCTTTTGAACATTGTGCCCACTTTGCATTTCCTGAGCAAAGGCTTCAAGAATGTGCACCGAAGAAATGGAGTCCAGGACCTGATGGCCAAGTCTGTCATAAAGAACAGTCTCGTGCGGTTTGTCTGTCCCATTAACATTCATGTGGAAGCCATACGGTTTACGATCTCAATGAAACAGAGCACCATACATGGATGAGGGTGATGCCTAGGAAAGAGCTTGCTGCTGTGGGCATTACGAGAACATTACCACCAGGACAGTAGTCATTCTTCAGCAAGACTTCGACCTGCTGAACTGCTGCTCATAGAATATCCAGAGGCCCATATGTGATGCAAAGACTGTCATGTTTGAGTTGAACGTGCTTCTCTTCAGTTGTTAAAATTTAGTATTGTTGACCTCCAGTGTGAGTACAAACAGGAACATCATCTCAAGACAGCCATGTGTGTGTCTGTGTGTATATTTGTATATGTGTGTGTTTCTTTCTCTTTCTCTCTCTCTCTGTGTGTGTGTGTGTGTGTGTGTGTGTGTGAGAGAGAGAGAGAGAGAGAGAGAGAGAGAGAGAGAGAGAGAGGAGAGATCTGAAAACGTGGGAAAGTGCCTTTCACAGAGACATTGTTACCAGAGTTCTTTATACAGTCATCTTTTCTCTTCCCTCTGGGCCCCTTGTCTGTCTCCTGAACTATCTCCACATAGTCCATCAGTTATGTAACCTTGTTTATATAGCTCTGTGGTGGTTTGAATGAGAATGTTCTCCATAGGCTCATATGTCTTAATGCTTGTCCAAAGTTGGTTGAACTATTTGGGAAGGATTGGGGGTGTGGCTTTATTGGAGGAGGTGTGCCACTTGGGTTGGGCTTTGAGGTTTCCAAAGCCCATAACATTACAGTTACTTCCCTCTGCCTCATGGTTGTGGCTAAAAGTGTGAGCTCTCAGCAACTGGCCAGCACCATGTCTTCCTGCCTGCTGTTATGATCTCCACCACAATGGCCACATACTCTTACGCTCTGAAACTCTAAGCCACAAATAAACATTTTCTTCTATAAGTTCCTTCATTGTGATGTGTTATCACAGCAATAGAAAAGTAACCAAGACAAGATCTATTTTATTATAGTTTTCAAAATTAACCAACTAATTTCAAAGAAGAATTTTATTATCTCGTGTGTTGATTTACTATCTCACTGAGGACACGATCCTTGTGTTTGTTACTGACTCACCAGGGTAGGAAACATAAATAAAACGCTCACTGTGTGTGCCACTCTTGACCAACAGAGCCCTAGAATCCTTTACCAGTAAATCCCTGCCCCAATCACCCCAGCTCTGCATTGTCTCTCCCTAGTAGTGCCTGCTGATCCTCAGATAGAGCAGTGTGTGGCTTCCTTGTCTTCGTTGTGCCCACCCCTCTACCCTCTTCACAGTTCTCTACCGTTGTCTCTTACCCTTCTAACTTGCTGGCTGTCCGTGCTTGCCCAGGGTCATGTTAATGGCAGCATCTGACTGTGACTCCCCTGAGCTAGGAGCTGTCTCCAAACCCCTTGCATCCCTGAGTCAATCTGCTTTTCTGTAGGGCATTATTTACTTATTGAATGCCATGGAATATTCTCCAGACAGATGAGACAAGCATCACTTTCTGGTTTATCAATGTGGAAAGGGAAGCCCTGAGGACCTTCTTCCCACCCACGTTTACTTGGGAAGAGGAGAGCAGCAAGGGAGTACACCCAGTCAGCTTGTCTTCCACTTTTGATGGGAACTACTGAGTTTTGTTCCTGTGATCATTAAGAGCAGGGAACACTTGAGTGGAATATGGGGGCCCTAACTGTCCTTGAATTCCTTTCACAAGAGCAAAAGTAGGTGAGGGAGAAACAGGAACAAGGATAGAAAAAGAGACTCTGCATGAAGAAGACCATTTTGAGGAGAAGAAACTGTAAATCACAGTGGCTAAAACTGAAGCGTACCGAGAGATTTTGAACATGTTAAAGTGTGACTCGAGTCCTCGAAACATTGCAATGCTGAGACAGAGGGAATGGGAGCAAATGACAGAGCTCTCATAGCTGCAATGATACTCTCTGAAGGTGGAGTGAACTCTCATAACTGCAGTGATGCTCTCTGAAGGGGAGTGAACTCTCATAGCTGCAGTGATGCTCTCTGAAGGGGGAGTGAACTCTCATAGCTGCAGTGATGCTCTCTGAAGGTAGAGTGAACTCTCATAACTGCAGTGATGCTCTCTGAAGGGGGAGTGAACTGTCATAGCTGCAGTGATGCTCTCTGAAGGTGGAGTGAACTCTCATAGCTGCAGTGATGCTCTCTGAAGGTGGAGTGAACTCTCATAGCTGCAGTGATGCTCTCTGAAGGGGGAGTGAACTCTCATAGCTGCAGTGATGCTCTCTGAAGGTAGAGTGAACTCTCATAACTGCAGTGATGCTCTCTGAAGGGGAGTGAACTCTTATAGCTGCAGTGATGCTCTCTGAAGGGGGAGTGAACTCTTATAACTGCAGTGATGCTCTCTGAAGGGGAGTGAACTCTCATAGCTGCAGTGATGCTCTCTGAAGGGGAGTGAACTCTCATAGCTGCAGTGATGCTCTCTGAAGGGGGAGTGAACTCTTATAACTGCAGTGATGCTCTCTGAAGGGGAGTGAACTCTCATAGCTGCAGTGATGCTCTCTGAAGGGGAGTGAACTCTCATAGCTGCAGTGATGCTCTCTGAAGGGGAGTGAATTCTCATAACTGCAGTGATGCTCTCTGAAGGGGAGTGGGGAGTGAACTGTCATAGCTGCAGTGATGCTCTCTGAAGGGGAGTGAACTCTCATAGCTGCAGTGATGCTCTCTGAAGGTGGAGTGAACTCTCATAGCTGCAGTGATGCTCTCTGAAGGGGGAGTGAACTCTCATAGCTGCAGTGATGCTCTCTGAAGGGGGTGTGAACTCTCATAGCTGCAGTGATGCTCTCTGAAGGGGGAGTGAAGGACAGTCCCTCGTGAGAGAGCCGTGAGGGGCACTGGCACACTTTTTTTCGGTTCCATGAAGATGACATTGCACTGTGTGATTCTTCACTAACTTATTATGAACTGATAAAATATAACGGACTTCATTTATCACATTCAGCTGCATTTGTTATAACGCAGAGAGTCGCCTTGGCTTGTTCTTTGTCCGGCTTTGCTTTTATTGAAATGAAAACCCTGCACTTGAGGACTTTGAGTGCCCTGGAAATAATGTCTGTTTTCACAATGTCCTGTTCTTTACTAGGTTCTTGGAACACCCAATGAAGACACATGGCCGGGAGTTCATTCTTTACCGCATTTTAAGCCAGGTATGTTTCACTGATCGCTAATGTTAGGTGCTTATGGTATGAAAAAGGTGACTGTACAAATGTGCACATTCAGGCGACATGCAGCTTTGATCCCGCCTACAAACCTTTGCCACTGTATATTTTATGTGTTAATGGAGTTGTCTTTGTATCCGCACCATTCACGTTTTTAATTGACTTCACTGCCCGTCCACCATGAGAGGGTTTCACCATATAAACTATGTTTGATTTGTCTAAATGATCTTATAGTAACTATTAATTTCATTATCAATTGTACATGTTTACCTGCTTATAAAAGCAAACTTTATCTGCAGAGATGGCAAAGCAATAGTAAAGCATTTACTGCATTAGCATAAGAATATGAGTCCGATTCCCAGCATCCATGAAAAGAGCTGGGCATGGTGGGTGGTTCCTATAATCCCAGTCCTGGGTAGACAAAGAGGGCAGATCCCTGCGAACACACTGACAAGGTAAGTCTAGAAGAATCTGTGAGCTCCTGGTTCAGTGAGAGACCCTGTCTCAGAAATGAAAGTGAAGAGAAATTGAAGAAGAGCCCCAGTATCAAACACATGCACACGAGCACAATTTAAATTGATCACAACTCATCAACTCAAACATATCACTACTTCTGAATACTACTAAGAAATTGTAGTAAATTATACAAAACATTTTTCCTCTCTTGACTTATGCTCGTAATATGTGGTCAGACAATTTGAGTTTAATTATATAAATTGTCCTGATTCTCCAACTGTGTGGCATTTGATAGTCAGTGGAAATTCCTTAGGCCTCTGAACTGGAGGCCTTGGAGTGCAGTCTTTCAAAAATAAGCTGTCACCTTCTCAATGGCCAGGAGAGGGCAGCCGCGAAGCTTTCAGTTTTAACAGTGACAAAATCTGACCTGATGTCCTTAATTTTTATTGAAGGGATGAAAGATTTGCAGTTGAAAATTGAATGAAATCAGGAAAATGAAGTATTGTAAAGTGGTTCCCTTTGTTTTTCTTTTTGGGTTACAAAACGTGGTCCTTAAAATGTAGAGACCCGCCATCGAGTTTCCGAAGGAGTTTCACGGAGTTCTGACAGCCGCTGTCCTGTCAGAAGGCGAGCTCCGCATAATTTCGCTGAGGGGAGCTAGTGTGTTTCTGCTGTTCCTTTTCCCCTCTTTACAGACTCTGGGAATAAGTGACCAATCTCAGAGAATGACTGAGTTGGGAAACTGTTTTTATTCTTCATAGTTTTGTTCTGAAAGTGTGCAGTGTGCTGAGAATTCTTTTATCTTATTCAGAACCTAGGAGACTCTTGGTACTTTTACTGAAAATTATAAATGAGTTCTATGTTCGTAAAAAAAAAAACTAGAAACACAGCTATGTATTATAATAGATTTTTTTTTAATTGAGCAAGAAGCATCTTGTAACCAGTGTACTCATTCCTAGTTGAGTTTAAGTCAAGAGGACAGCTCTTTCTAAGAGTCACAGGCTCTCATGGTTAGCAATCTTGTTAGGATATATAGTTTTGAGATGCAAGAAATAAAACAGACAATCCTGAGAGTCCAGAGTTTAGTTCACTGGCAGAACATTGACCTAGCATTTACCACACAAGAGAAACAAATAAGATTTTAAATGAATAAAGACTTATACATAAAGGACCGATTCATATAGTAATTTCACCTGCCAAGTGTCCATACTAAAAAATATGGAAGAATTTCAGTGCTTGGCACACTGTCCAAGCTCTGCTCTGGAGCATGGGGCCAAACTCAACCAATCAGCAAGTGAAAGGAATCTCATCAGAATGTCGGTTCGCACGCTTCCTCTAATGTGAGGCTGGGCAACCGTTCACTGTTTCAGCTTTTCCTTGCTGTGACCTGTTTGTGGCCTTTGCTCAATTTATAGTTGAAAGTTATAAGTCATCTCCCTTTCAATTCTAGGAGATTGTATAATTTTAGGTAATATCTCTTTTTTCTATGCAAGCCTTTTTCCTCTTTAGATTTAACTGCATAAGTGCATACCAAAAATGGTGCACAGAAAATGCACTGAAATGGACTGGCCCCGAGAACTGTCTGATTCGGTCAGTACAGTGAGATTAGCTGTTCAGGATAGATGCTGTGAAACTTCTCAACATGGATTGTTTACTTTTACTCTCAGACATGTTTATGCATTTGTTTACGACCAAAACCAAAAATCCCACAGCAGAATCAGAATGAGAAAAACAATGACCTCATATCCCCTTTCATAACTCCTGCTCGGTACCTGCATTCAGTCCTTCCTCACACCCTCAGATGTAGCCTTTCTCGTCCCCTTTTCCACATACATATATATATATATGTGCATATGTGTGTAAGATAGATAGATAGATAATAGACCAAATGACAACTAGGCTGATTCCGTTTCATTCCTGTAGTGAATACGGCAGCAGTAGGCATGAGCACAGATACCTCTATGTACTTCTCTGGGTATATGCCCAGGTGTGAAGTAGTGGGGTAAGATAACGTAGTTCTAGTTTTAATTTTCTGAGAAACCCTCAATGGCTGTATTACTTTGCACGTCCATCTAGAGGTAAGAGGGGTCTTGAAGTGACCACTGGCACCTCGGAAACTCTACACACATAATGACCTCAGAGCCCACTAGAACCAATGCTCCAGACTCTCACAGGATGCTGGGCACAGTGGAGCCGAAGTGTGGGTCCTGCGCTGACATCTGAGGCCACTGTACTAGAGTCTGGCCACAGGTTGCTCTCTGGTCCTGCAGAAACCTGAGGCCCTCTAAAATTTTAAGCAAGATTAAACATAGTCCTTACTGTTAGGTTATGTCTTTTTTGACTTGCTTAACAATAAAGTTTGCCTCAAAAAAAACCCCATGACATTTGCAAAACAGTATATGCATAATTTTTAATACCAAATCCTGTTACACACACACACACACACACACACACACAATTTGGGTCTGTATTTCATATAAGGACACTTTGGTTTTCAAATAGTTTATTTTACTGTCGTGTTCTAGGCTTCTAGGCCATATATACATCTAGACAGCTACATCTCTTAGAGAAAATTTCATGTCTGTATTTTCAAAATGTGTACAAAACCCTGAGCTAATTCTGTAGAAAATAGTGTCATGCTCAAAGAGCATGTAGAACCGATGTATGGCACTTTCTTCCAGCTCTTAAGTTTTCCTAACAAAGGGGCATTCAGCTGTGGTTTAATGACAGATTATTATTCAGAAGTCCAGACAGGAAGACACTGTAAAGTTCAAGGAGGAAACAACACTGCCAGACTGGAAGCAATGAGAAGCAATGAAATTTCAAATAAAAAATAGTCCTCTTTTCCAAAATCAATAAAGGGTGGGGGCAGATCTACAGTGGTTACTTTGTTTCTCAGGGAACATCAGTCACCCAGTGCAAGAGGGTGTTCAGTTGTTGAAGATGGGGTGTCCTCTATGAGGGAGATAGGTGAATACAGAAGTTACGCCAGTGGCGGCGGGAAAGTGAGGAATGGTGATATTTAAAACATATTATGCACCAGACCAAGCATGCAGAAACACTGACCTTTGAGTCAACATTTACACGTGGACTTGGTTATACTGTTTTCAATGAAGTGAACCTTTCTTCTTAAGTTCTCCTTAGTCCCAGACAGGCCTTCCCTAGCCAAGCAGATCCAGCCTTCTGTTTTTAAAGGGAGGAAGTAAATGCTTTCGGACTTATAGTGCCTTGGCACCTTGCCACTCAGTATTACCTTGGTACCTCACTGCACAGTGCTATCTCTACTTACAAAACAATATAATACCTTATCCTTTGATATTCGCAATAAGTCTGAGTTACTATACTACTGTCTTCATATTGCAATTCCATTTTACAGACAAGGGAATGGCCATCTCTGAATGTTGGCCCCAAGCTTGCTCCCTCTCTTGAAGAGGGCTTGCCTCTTCTAGCTAGCGCTGTGAAGGACTGTGTCTTCACAGAGAACTCTCCCTATGGCACCTTTCCACCTACCACCTGCTCACTGGGGCAGCTCTAAACCCTTCACCTGCTCTTCTAATAAGTTATCAGTTCTAAAAAAAATATTTCAGATGATTTACTCTCCAGTATTTTTCTTGAAAGAGATACAAGGAATACTTTCACGGGGACAATGGCCATGAACCAGGACTGTGCTTGAGTGATGAGAGTCTTGATCCTTCCATGTATTATCCATTCCAAAGCTTCCATGATATAGGAATAAGAGCACAGATTCTGGAGCCAGACACCCTTAGTCTCAGCACTGCTGGCAAGGATGAGAGTTTGACATATCATGTAACAAAAAGTCCACTGCTAGTGCCCGGCCTGGGATTTCAGTGCTCAGGACCGGGGATAGAAAATGCCGCTTTGGTCCTTTCAACATCCAATCAGGTTTGGGGACTTGGCTTTAGTCATACTCCTGGGTCTTCTCAAGTCTCTTATAAGGTACTGGAAAAGCTTTGGAGGCAGCAGGATTCCATGGGAATATGCCATGCAGGAAGACTAGAGATAGGGACATCTTAGTGTCATAATGTGCCCTTCACGGACCACCCTACAGTGAGGGTCCCCTGTGACTTGCAGAGATCCCTCCTCTATTCCTCAGAAAAGAGGGTGCCTACTCCATCCAGCACACCGACTTCTATGGAAATTCAATGCAAACTTGTGTTCTTACACATTTTTCTTTATTCTATCTACTTTTAAGGTGAATGAGCTAGATAATATAATTGATACAAAATCTAGTTTATAGTTCCAAAATAATGTTTTTAACATTAAAGACACGTCTTCTGCTTGTCATTTCCTTTTCTATTTCCTTCTTATGCTTTGTTTCAGGAGTTGTTCTCTCTCTCAATAGCCGCCATCATAACTGTAGATTAGCTCTAGGTACACTGTGTGGTGGTTATAAAAATGGTTTACCACATGCATGAGGTAGTAAAGTGCCCGCTTTACACAGCAGCACAAGGACCCGAGTTCAGCTCCCCAAAGCTGTTCACAGTGGTGCATGCTGGTAACTCTGTCCACTG